AAGTTAAGGCCTCGAGAGTTGTCCGAATGCCACCCGCGAGTGTTCCGGGTGCCCTCTCTCGTTCTTTCTGTGTCTTCCGTATGCGTTGTCTTTGGTTCTTTCGAATGTTTCAGATTTCTGAGAGGATCTAAGAGAAGAATATCTCCAAAGAATATGTGTGGTGACTGATGCTAATATATATGTGTGTGCGCGCTCAATAAACCGGCACGTTGACGGTGATTGGAAGGCTAAAATTACAGCCTAGTAACTTCTATGGCAATCTCCTGTTGCCCTATCCTGGCCAGTATTCTGAGTATTAAATCAGATAAGTTATAGCATATTATGTTCCTTGAAGGTGCATTGAAGAACAAAGCAGTAAACGGGGAGCCAAGGCTCGCTCTGTCTCCTTAAGAATCCAAACAGCTCAGGTTTAAAATTTAATAGCCATTTTACATGCTAAAATCCAGGGTGGGCTATCACTTGCAAGAGCTCAAGTCACACTGTAGCTTTCTGAACATAGACTGGAATAGAATCTGCTTTATTTTCACCCAACTGAGGAGATCTGTGAAAGCTAAGTAACTGTTGACTAAAAAACATTGACTCTGCTCAGTTATGTGATTAACAAGTTGTTGCGCTGGTGGTTGATGTTGGGGTGGGGTGGTGGTGGTGGTGGTGGAGAATAAGGATACATTTTTTTTAAAGGAGGGTTGGAAGGGAAAAGAATAGCTATGAGAAGATCACGGTTTCGAGATAAAGGTGTGTGTTGTTGTTGTTTTTGCCAATGGAGAGCATAAATGTTGATTTGAGATCAGCAATGCGAAGGTGGCAGTTCCATGAGAAAGGTGCTGTTTTGCTTTGCTTTGTTTATCTATTGCGAAAATGAATGTTGAGTTGAGATTCCTCCAGTTTTATCCTTCTGTATGAGGTTCAGGGTTATCCTCCAAGAAGCAAGGGAGAGGCATCCCCCTCCGGCTCTCAAGTAATGCGAAGGAAGCATCCTGAACAAGGAACACAAAGTCATCACATTTTCTGTAATATTTCAGAAGGAATGAATGACTCTTTTATAATATGCTGGTTGTACGGTCATTATATAAGTTTCCCCTAAGCTTGATGAAGAAGGGTTATGAAGATCAGAATTGTCTTTCTAGGGAGACAAGATGGCAGACCGTATGGCTTATCCCTCCACCCAAATTCGGTTTCGAGTAGGAAACATTTATTTTCAAAAGAGGGCTTTCCCCCACCTCGCTGCATCTTTCATTGCAAAGTTCTTGCACTGCTTTTTAATTTTGATGCTTCAATCTCCTTAGCAAACTTTCTGCAGGAGAGATGAGAGGATCTGATGTTCCTTCGACTTAAGCTCAATCAGCTTTATCATAAGCAAGAGAGAAATTAACGTGGTGGACATGCAAAGGAGCTTGCATAAGGAAATAAACAGGCTGGTTTTCGGCTTTTATTAGATGACTGTCTTGGTTTATTATGTTAGATATCCGCCTTTTTAAAAGCATGCAAACGCGCTTGGCTTTGGCTCAAAGTAAACATGGTATGGACAGCGGCTATATTCGATATCCCTCTAAGGTTGGATACACACAGACATTCCTTCTGAGCTTTAAACGTTTTAATAAGCAGACGTAATACATAAATGCAAAGATTCACCCTTTGCGCTTTGTTACTGTAAATTAGTATTTCAACAGATAAATATGCCTGATCACAGAGACCATAATTATGCTCAATAGTCCTGGGGTAATTGATTGGTCTCACACTATTCATTATGTACGGGAAAGTTTCCCCTTCTCTCCATATTAACAATTCTCATATCAGCCCCTTTTTATTTTATAACAGTATGAAGAAGGGTGGTGAGAGGAAAAAAATCTATCATGCAGTTATGAAGTTTAATTTAACCACCAGCACCCCAATGTACAGAGGGAAGTCTAAAGTAATATATGTTTAATCGACCCAAGTCAAGAAATGTAATAAAAGTTAAATCCTCCCCTACTGTGTTTTTTCTCCTTTAAACGATACTATTAGATCTGGGTGAAAGCGGAGAATTTACAGACTTGAGCATTATTGCACCGAGTTCCTTTATCTCTTATGTGAGAGCATGTGTAATTATGACGATCTCGTGCTGTTTCCTGTACATCTCTCCCTTGACAAAATATTGTTTTGCTCGTTTGCTAAAACGTGCTTGTCCTTTCTGGGGTTTGTTGTTATGCATATAAAATATTTGCAGCTTTCCAGTGTGGGCTTCCAGTGCCGCTTCATTTTTCTTGTGTATGTTGCTGTTATTCTGTGTTTCACAGCAGGTGTAACTTCAAAAGGCTTCTGTCTTTGTGTTTAGACCTACATGCTGCTCTTCCTTGCAATTTAATCGTTTAGTTTCTGAGAGTTTTGAAGGTGCTGGGAACGATGCAAAGATACACCCATCCACATCTGTAGATCAATACATCTGTTAGTATATCTATCAACGTATCTATTTATCCACACAACACATTAACTGGCCACAATCCAGCAACAGCACATACACCTATTGATTTCAATTATTTTCAGCGCTCATTGCCTGTGTTGGATTATATTTGTGTATAATTCGAATGTCTGCACACATATACGGTGTGTGTGCTTGCATTTCTTTTAAGTATGTGTACATATGCATGCTCTCTGTATATGTGTATAGGTATGTTTGCGTATACAGACAAGGAGTATTGAACAGGAGGTGTGTATTTTTAACTGGGGGGAGCCATTAGTTTGGTAAAGATAATTTAGTTCACCATGTTGGAATATTCCTT